TCTGTTGGTAAGCAAAACGTGAGTTAAGTGAGTTCTGCCCCATTTTACGACTTTTCTTGCCACCGTTGCTAAATGAATCGCTGCAGCTGTTAACTTAGCAACATGGTTGTTAAGTGGATCTGGTTTCCCCCATTGACTTTGCTTGTCAGGAGGTTGCAAAAGGGGATCACGTAACCCCAGAATCCTGAAACCGTCATAAATATGAGTCAGTTGCCAAGTATCTGAATTTTGATCATGTGACCATGGGGGATGCTGCAATGGTCATAAGCGTGAAAAACGGTCAACATAAATCACATTTTTCGGTGCTGTTGTAACTTCAAATAGTGACTAAACAAACTGTTGTAAAACGAGGACTATCTGTATTCAAATGAACACATTTTTTAATAGTACTGCAAGAGAAAACTCCAGTATTTTAGATGCTGGATTCTGATTGCATCCCTTCCCTTGTTTTTGCTTATGGGTACCAACAATAGAGCTCAGGTGTGTCCATGTCATGCCCCTGTTGGAGACTGACTCCGAGGGAGAGGAGGAACAGCCGACAGGGAGTGGAAGTGTGGCTCCGGAAGTTGGGGAAGGGCAGAGGCTGGCTGGGCAGTCAGAGGAAGACCCAGGCCCATCCCCCCTCCATCCTAGGGCACACAGGGAGGAGAGGATAAGGGAGAGATGTGAATGGCATGGTCTACGGGGGAGGAATGGGCCTTGATCCTCTTCATGGGCTGCAGCTGTGAGAACTGCTTAAAAGGACGAACATGCATATGGGCCAGTGCTGGAAACAAAGCGTGGAAATATCTCTAGTCTGTCCTTCCTCTCTGAGTTTGGCGTCCTTCCCAGTGTGTGTTCCGATATCTGTGGACTTCTTCAAGCTCTTATCTTGCCTAGTTCCCTTAATTGCTTCAGTGTGGTTTGTGTTGTTTTTACTCTTATAATTTATAGGCATTTTTAGTTTAAAATTTCCTCCTTTTTGTAACTGCTTGTGGGGGAGTTTTTTGTCTCCAGTCAAGGATATTTGGAGCTTTGAAGCAAAGTGAAGGAATAAAAGGGGCTTCACCTGTTTTTGTGACTGTGTTTATTTTGTATCCCACCTTAGGTCATCACAGTCCATTTCAAGTATTATATGTAGAAATTACATGAGTTACACCTGTAGAAATGAAGAACAGAAGGGAAGCCATACTTATCCAATATTTGAACTATGCAATGGTTATTGGACAGTTGTATAACTATATCTAATAAACATGTACTGTTTTATAACTTGTTATGTTCTAAAGTAAATGTCAGGCTTTTGGGTAGAACATGGGTGTGTACTTTTTGGCATAAGGATATGCGTAGGAGATACTAGGTTATCCTGACCCGAAAGGAACTGGTTAATGATTTATTGTATTACAGATGGTCATAACAGGACCATAACAGGAAGAAGAATCCATGAGAACGAGGGTAGTTTCCAAGAACAAGGAAACAGGTGTTACGCTACAATAATATGGGTGTTGCGTAGGGAGATACGTAGCTTGGATAGATTATGAACCCAGAAAAGGGGCAGAGACTGTATATTTGAACCTGTATATAAACCCCAACCTTCCTGGGAACCATCTGCCATGAACAGAATTCCCTTTTGCAAAAGATTAATAATGAAGCTCTTGTTCACATGTCTCCAGTTGTTTTTTTGATGATTATCACATCAAGAGATATCTGAAGTAAATTCATGTTGTTGACCCATTTTCTGCATTTACACAACGCACTGAGTCATAAGCTAGTCAAGCTGTCACCAAGTGTGATCTAACTCATGTTCTACCGAGGTTGCAAACTCTGTACAGGACTGGTTAACAAGCACATTTCTGTACAGCTGGTGGGAGTGACTTCTGAGTAAGCACGCTCATAATTAAGCGCCACCAAGCTAGATGCAAAATGTGAATTGAAGGCATTAATGAAAATTCTGGAACCAAACAGTTCGACTCTCTTAAATTGCAACCTTGACATTCAGATAGGCCCAGATAGGTCGGGGGTACACAACCTGTGGGCTGCGGCCTACTATTGGTCCGCAGCCTATTTGTAACTGGGCTGAGTAAGTGGCTGGCTGGGGCGCCCACACGGGCCTACTCACGCGCACAGGCCCCGCTGGCATGAATGTTGTGGGGGGCTCGCGGCCTCAGTCACGCAAGCAACATGCCTGCACCCATTACAAAGACCATCTCCCCTTCCCCCACCCCCCACTCGGGGCCCACAACCCCAAAAAGTTGGGGAACTCTGCCCTATATAATTTAGGGCTGTGAGATCTGAGCTGAAAAACTTGGATGGCCCACCAATGGCAGTAAAGCGATACAAAAAAGAACAACTTTGGTGGTGATCCAGATTTTAAGCCAGATCAAATAGCCTTAAACAAAGACAAAGAAAAGTTGCTAAACCTGAAATGAATAAATTGTGACAATATGAATTTGGTAAATACAGGTAGTCCTTGAATTACAACAATTCATTTAGTGACTGTTCAGTTACAACAGCATTGAAAAAAGTGAGCTTTTCACACTTATGACTGTTGTTGGGCAGTGGTGGGATTCAAATTTTTTTACTACCGGTTCTGTGGGCGTGGCTAAGTGGGCATGGCTTGGAGGGCGTGGCAGGGGAAGGATACTGCAAAATTTCCATTCCCTCCCCACCCCACTAACCTGCTTTCCAGCTCCATTCTCCCATCCAGGGCAACCAAAGAAGACCCAGCCGATCAGCTGGGACTCAGTGGGAGGCAGAGAAGAGATGGGGGTGGGGCCAGTCAAAGGTGGGATTTGTCGGTTCTCCAAACTACTCAAAATTTCTACTATTCAGAACCTGCTGAATACCACCTCAGTTGTTAGGGCATCTCCACGTCACATGATCAAAATTAGGACACTTTGCAACTGACTCCTATTTATGACGGTTGCAGTGCCCCAGGATCATGTAATCCCCTGTTGGGACATTCTGACAAGCAAAGTCAACGGGGAAGCCAAATTCACTTAAACAACGGGTGAATTGGTTATAATTTAATAACTGCAGTGATTCGCTTCACAGCTCATAAAATCTTCATAAAATGGGGCAGAACTCATTTAACAAACGTTTCGCTTTTAGCAACAGAAATTTTGGGCTCCCTTGTGGTCGTAACTCAAGGACTACCTGCCCATTTTCTTTAGTGGAGTCCTTGGTGCTCTCTGAGATTGGCTGTTTGCCTGGAAACGTCTCATTGCCTGATTAGGTAACATCATCAGTACTGGTGACCGTGGGATTTGGTATATATACCTTAATATAAATTTATATATTTATATCTTTATCAGAATTGAAACTGGTAAGCAAATAGCACTCCTTACTAGCACTGATGATGTTACCCAGTTGGTAATGAAACGTCTGCAAGAAAACAAACAAGCTCAGAGCACCAAGGACCCCAGTCTTCCTCCTCCTCCTCCTCCCCACAAACCCTCCTCCCTTCTAACAGTGATGATGTCATCTAGTTTTGGTAACGAAACATCTGCAAGATCACCAAGAGCCCCACAGTGGTCGTCCTTCTCCCCCTCTTCCTCCTCCTCCATAAACCCTACTTCCTTCTAGCACTGATGATGTTAACCTAGTTAGAGTAATGAAACATCTGTAAGAAAACAACCTGGGAAGCTAGACTCCAGGCAGAAGCACAAAGAAGAATCCATCTTAATCTGTGGCACATGGTCATCCAAGGACAAACCCACATCCCACACAAGAGCATTGCTTGATGAGATTTAAATTGCTTGTATTTATTAATTGTTATGCTCGGCAGCAACTCAATACTGCCTAGATTATAATTTGGTTCTCATTGTGTGTATCCCTATTTTCCCCAGTTTCACCATATCCTGTTCTTTCAATAAAGCCTTCCGATCGAAACACACGGTCCGTTTTATTGGAGGATAGGTGGGTTTAGCGGCATGTCGAGATGCACACAGACTAAGGTATACTGAGGACAGAACACCCATTTTGCATCATCATGTGACTGACTCAATTTTGGGCAGTCTGGGGAATTCTGGGAATTGAAGTCCATCCGTCTTCCAATGGCCAAGGTTGGAAAACCCTGCTCTAACCCATTGTTTCTAATTCCAGGTCCAAGAGATCACTGCTTTGGTGAGGACTCCATGAACCCAAGTGAAAGATTGGCTAAGCGGAAGAATTTGCATGTGTCTTCCTAACCAGAGGACACAGAAAAATGCAATGAAAATATGAATGGAGCCGGAGCAGAACTTTGAAGGATTTTGAGACTAGAAGCCATGAGAAAATTCACCAATGCTTCGTCCCAGGAGAAACCAACTAGAGACAGGGCAATCCAGAAAGGTCTGTGACAATTTGCCGTAGCCAACTTGCCATGGCCAACTTGCTGCAACCCACTCACTACGGGGTAACTTGCTGCGGAACAAGAATTACACTAATATCCAAGAAATGGTGGAACAGAATAATTAAAGCAAGGATGCCAAAGGAGGGACGAAATAAAGTATGAACGACAAAAATACTTTTTTAAAAAACAATATTTTAAATAATTAAATGGAATTGTTAAATTGTCACACAGTGAGTTGTTCCGTGGCAAGTTGGCCACGGTGAGTTTTCTTGTGGCAAGTTGGCCACGGTGAGTTTTCTTGTGGCAAGTTGGCCATGGCAATTTTTCTCATGGCAAGTTGGCCACGGCAAGTTTTCTCATGGCAAGTTGGCCATGGCGCGTTTTCTCGTGGCAAGTTGGCAAGTTTTCTTTTGGCAAGTTGGCCATGGCGAATTTTCTCATGGCAAGTTGGCAAGTTTTCTCATGGCAAATTGGCCATGGCAAGTTTTCTCGTGGCAAGTTGGCAAGTTTTCTCATGGCAAGTTGGCCATGGCGAATTTTCTCGTGGCAAGTTGGCAAGTTTTCTCGTGGCAAGTTGGCCACGGCGAATTTTCTCATGGCAAGTTGGCAAGTTTTCTTGCGGCAAATTGGCTGCAGCGAGTTGGTTGAATCCTTGAATCTTTCTCTCCCACCTTCCAAACAGCTGTAACAACCTGTCCCCAGAGATTTGGCCTGGTTGCCATATATTAAAGACCAAGAAACTGCTAGAGCATTAATAAAAGTCTGTAATGGTCTTTTCACCAGGAAAACAAAACAAAACATGAATCCATCCAGGAACCAGTTAACCGATAAACCAAGAGAAGATGACCCAGGGGCAATCAACCTTAACTTTTTAACTACAAGGACCGTAATCAACCCCCATTGTTCCTCTGACCATGGGAAAGATCAGGCAAGGAAGTCCAAGGGAAAAGCTTTCCTCCAACCCATTTTATAGGTCCCTCAGAATGGCCAACAGAAGGGCCCAGATCTGCTTAAGTGCATGGGATTAAATTTGGAACACGGATGGCACCCTTTCACACATCACTTTGTGTAGGTGTCCAGTTAAGAAGGTCCTAAGTGCATCACCTTAGAAAGCGGGAATGTGAGAAGCAAGTGTACTTCACAACTTTGCTGCTCACAACAACGTTTATCTTCCCCAGCTTTGACTAACAAGCATACCAAACATCCTGCAGACGGCCAATAATTTAATAAAATCAGTTAATACTGCTCAATAAATACATAAAGCGTATTTACTTGCCTTTTAGGAAACACAAAATCTAGAACTTCGGGCCAAGTTAAGGATGATTGTCCCTTGATTATCTAAGGCAAATCTGTCTGGTGTCTTGTTTTTTTTTTTTTTTACTTTTTCTTTACATAAAGCAATCACATAAAAATAGTTATAAATAGAAAAAATTTCAAAGGATTTCCCACCCTTGCTACCACATCCTTCCCCCATTCCATTGTTCAGGAAATGAAACCGAAAAGGGGAAAAAAAAACAAGAGGGATTTTGTTTTGTTTGTTTGTTTGTTGCATCCAGTTCTTGTGGATTTTACAGTCTTCAGAATCTTTGGATATTTTACAAGGACTCCGGGTTGGATAACCAGCCCAAAAAAGGAGAAAAAAGAAAAGTCAAAATCCAAAACAACACCCTCCCTCCCCCAAAAAATTAAGATGTAAAACGGTCACTTGGAAAGATAATAAACCAAGAACATTGAAGTCTGCTGCTGGGAATTCCATTTTTCTTCCCTGCATTTGTTGGAGCAAAGAAGAGATGTCTTTGGGGGTGTTTTGAAAAAAAGTCCCTAAGGGAGCTTAATTTTCAAGACAGTCCTTTTATAAAGGGAAAATACGTCCTTCCTTCTTGACTGGGAACCAATGCAGTACTGGAGAACGGGGTCTGTAGGTAGAGAAAAGAAAAACAAATACTCTTTAATAGTATTTCCTCCCATTTGTCTCTGTTAGCTATATTTCTACACCGCTCCTTTCCAAAGGCTCTGAGCAGCTAACGTTCAAAAAGATCATAAAGGACCCGTCCATCAGATTAAATCCACCCTAAAATTCAATTAAAAATCTCAAGGGATTAAAATGTGTCTAAGCACTGCACCTTTAGAGTATACTTGCCACTTGGTCTAGATGGAAAAGTTGGGTCTTGCTTGCCTGTTCTTATGAGCGCAGGAAGGAAGGGGTAGACTGGAACGCCATAGGGAGGTGGGGTCCCCTAACATGTAGCCAGCAGCCTGGTCCTCCAAAGTAGCACTTTATACAGTAGCACTTTATAAAGCTTTAGTAATAGTAAAACCTTAGTATTGGTGAAAACCTTAGTATTATTAACTAACTAGCTCTATACCCATGCTCCGCTACAAAACTACGTGACCGGGCTTAGTTTTTGGGGAGGAAACTAAGGGAGAAAAAATTCTGCCTCTGCTTACCAGCATCCATCGGTATTCATCTGGCTAGCGTCCTGTCAGTGTGTGTGAGAGTTGAGGGCTGTTTGGAAACCGAAACAGTATTTGCTGTGTGAGCAAGGAGACAGCAAGGAGCCTGGGCGTGGCTTAGCTCAACTGCTCTGCCCTAAAGCTGGTGGCTGCTGTGAAACTGAAACTCCTCCCCTCTGCTTGTGTTTTGCCTTTGGAACAGATTTCTTTTCAGATGGGGAGGGAGAGTAGAACTCCTTAGCATCATAGTGTGTTGTTAATAATAATATAGGAAGTACTAACGCTCTGATGGTCATTTCGAAAAATCCTTTCTTAGTGAGAACCTAGAAGCCAAGAGGAACGTACGTGCCGAATTTCAAGCTTGTAGGCGTTACAGTTCTGGAGATTTTGTGATGATGCATGAGTGGTATTTCGCTTTTATTTATATATATAGTTATATGGAAGGGAAGAGATTCGAACAAGGACAACTTTAAGACCTGTGGCCTTCGACTCCCAGAATTCCCCAGCCAGCCATGTTGGGCACCTAGGTAGTTGGAAACTACCGAGAGCCAGTCTAATCCCCAAATTTGGGGTGTGTGTGTGTGTGGCTTAGAGCAGAGGTCTCCAACCTTGGCAACTTTAAGCCTAGTGGACTTCAACTCCCAGAATTCTGGGAGTTAAAGTCCACCAGCTTAAAGTTGCCAAGGTTGGAGACCCCTGGCTTAGAGCATGGCTGGCGAGGGAATTCTGGGAGCCGAAGCCCACACGTCTTGAAGATACCAAGGTTGGACACCTCTTGGATTAGAAGATCATCTCCAACTCCTTCTAGTCGATAGCAACACCTGCTTCCCTCATCTGAGGGGGATGTCTTTCCCCATTTCCTAGCAGAATTGTACTTGTACCCCAAACTCTTGTACCCCAAACCCATTCACAGTAGTCTGGGCAAGTTGCGTTCTATAACTTAAAAGCTGGGATTTTTTCCACCCCTCAACTTTTCCTAGCAGAGAAAGCGTTAGGAGAGGAGCCATTCTACCTACCCAACCCATCCCTCGAAGAGAAGACAACTCAGTTGCTAGATTCAGAGAGAGAGGCCAAGGGGTTGAGGGCGGCCAGTCCATTGAACCCCGAGCCCCAGGGATCCGGGAGGGAGAAATACGGCCGCGCCGAGAGGCCCTCGCCGTGGCTCAGGGCAAAGGCAAAGAGGCCTCCGTTCCGATCCAGGTCCAGGTGTGTCCGCCCAAAGAGCTTCATCTGGGTCTCCTCCAACTGGTTCTCCAGTTCCTGGAGGTTCAAGCCGTTCTTGGCCGCTTCCATGAAGGGGCTGGGGCCCGGGAGGCACAGCCCGGGGCCGCCCAAGTGGCCGCTCATGTCTTCCAATGCCGGGGGCACCAGGAAGCTCTTGTCGTCCGGTTGTCCAGTCGGGGCGAAGAGCAAGCTGGCCGTTCTCCAGGGTGCCGACTTGCGTCCTCTTCGGGGCCGGGAGATCCGGCAGCTCTGGCGCTTGATGTGGCGGTGCAGGTGATCCGAGCGGGTGAAGCTCTTGTAGCAGAACTTGCACTGGTAGGGACGGATCCCGGTGTGGATCCGCATGTGGTTCTTCAGGTCGTAGTTGTGGACGAAGCGGGCGCTGCAGTGGATGCAGAGGTACGGCCTTTCCCCTGTGTGCTTCCGCATGTGGATCTTCAGCTTGTCTTGCCTGGCCAAAGGAGAAACAAGGGTTAACTAGGGAGGGGATCACCCAAGCACAGAGTTGAAAGGTCACCGGGATGAGACAAGGAAGGGGCAAACTCTCTCCTGAAGTCCTCATGGACACAGGAAAAGTGTTGAATTTATATTTTACTAACAAAGAAATTGTCAAGGTGATAATTTAAGAGCTGACCAGCTGATTCCATGAAAGGAATGAGTCAGCAGGATGTTTGGCTGTTATCCCTTTAAGAGCCTGTGTAATAAGAGGAGGGCTTGCTAGAGTGTTTGTTCGTTCATCGAGTTTCTTCCCTGCTGACTGTAATTGCAGTTTGTTTAGATCAAGAGTCTTCAAACTTGGCAAGTTTTAAGATTTGTGGACTTCAACTCCCAGAATTCCTGAGCTATTCTGGGATTCTGGGAGTTGAAGTCCACAAGTCTTAAAGTTGTCCAGTTTGAAGGCCCCTGGTTTAAATGCTGCTTGTAGCACATATATGTATAGTATTCCTATATTCCTATTGTAGATAAAAAATCATTATTTGATACGAGCCACTGTTGGCTGTACTTGCTCCTGGGTTGACACATGGGATAGATCTGTGTACACTCTGACAGAAATAAAGGTAAAATAGAAATCCAACACAAAAATAAGTTTGCCGTGAAAGTGACTGCCCGCGAGGCCTCTTGGACTGGGGCTGAAAGTGGAAGCAGTATGCTCCGTCCCATATTTGGGTAGACCACATTGCCCTGACAGACTGGAAAAAACACACATGACAGTGATTTTCCAGGCAAAAAAACAGAAGGGCTTGCCTTGTGCTAGAGTAGGGATGTCAAACTCAATTTCATTGAGGGCCGCATCAGGGTTGTGTTTCACCTTGGGGGGCTGGGGTCGGCTTGGCCAGCTTGATGTCATTCGTGTGGTGGCACCGGTGGCGGCCTGAGTGTTCTGCCAGTGAAAACGGGAGTCCCGAGTTCCGCTTTTGGCTGTAATGGCCTCCTGCAACCACTCTGCCAGCAAAAATGGAGCTCAGGAAAAGCTCCATTTTCACTGACAGAGGCACCGCGGGCTGGTCCTTCACTGTTTCCAGGATGGTCCTGCAGGCTAGATCTCAGCACCCCATAGGCCAAATCTTGCCCATGGGCCTTGAGTTTGATACCCTGTGCTAGATTGTTTTTCTATGGGTGGTCTCCCATCCAGATAATAATAATAATTAAAGATAATAATCTCTAATGATCTAAGTGCTAGAGCCCACTGTAACTACATAGCCAAAAAGATATTAAGAGTTGTTAACCTAATCCTACGTAGCTTTTTCTCCGGTAATATCACACTACTAACTAGAGCGTACAAAACATTTGCTAGACCAATACTTGAATACAGCTCATCAGTCTGGAACCCGCATTACATAACGGATATTAATACAGTCGAGAAAGTCCAGAAATATTTCACGAGAAGAGTTCTCCACTCCTCCTCTACTCGTTGCAGAATACCTTATGCCACCAGACTTGAAATTTTGGACCTAGACAACCTAGAACTACGCCGCCTTCGGTCCGATCTAAGTATAGTATATAAAATCACACACCGCAATGTCCTACCTGTCAATGAATACTTCAGCTTCAACCATAACAATACAAGAGCAAACAATAGATACAAACTCAAGGTTAACTGCACCAAACTTGATTGCAGGAAATACGACTTCAGCAACAGAGTGGTCAATGTCTGGAATACTCTACCTGACTCTGTGGTTTTTTTCCCCCAAACCCCAAAAACTTTAACCTTAGACTGTCTACTATTGACCTCACCCCTTTCCTAAGAGGTCTGTAGGGGGCATGCACAAGCGCACCAATGTGCCTACCGTCCCTGTCCTATTGGTTCTTTTATTTTTCTTGTATGTATCCATTTCATGTATTCATAACTATGTTTATACTTATACCTGTTATCTTATGATCGCTTGACAAAATAAATAAATAAAATAAATAAATAAATTAAATAAATAAAATAAATAAAATAAATAAAATAAATAAATAAATAAATAAATAAAATAAAATAAAATAAATAAATAAATAAATAAATAAATAAATAAAATAAAATAAATAAATAAATAAATAACATAAATAATAGCCCAGCCCAATTCTGTTTCTCAAGGGCAGCATTCCCTGACTTACGTCCACAACAGAGCCTGAAATTTCTGTTGGTAAGTGAGACAGTTGTTAAAAGTGAGTTTTGCCCCGCTTTACAACTTATCTCGCCTTGGTTGTTAAGAGAACCCCTGCGGTTGTTAAGGGAGTAACAGAACGGTTAAGTGAACCTGGCTTCCCCATTGACTCGGCTTGTCAGAAGGCCGCAAAAGGGAATTTCGTGATCTTGGGACACCGCAACCATCATAATTATGAGTCAGTTGCCAAGCGCCTGAATTTTGATCATGTGACCTTGGAGACGCTTCATGTGTGAAAAATGGTCAAAGGTCCCCTTTTTTCAGGGCCACTGTAACTTTGAACAGTCACTAAATGAACTGTTGTAAGTCGAGGACTACCTGTATTGATACCTACCTGAGATTAGGGAAGGGGCTGATCACTCTCGTTTACCCAAGATAGTAATAGCTTCCCAGTGCTTTTACAGCCCTCTCTAAGAGGTTTACAGAGTCAGCCTATTCCCCCCCCTCAACAATCTGGGTCCTCATTTTAGCCACCTCAGAAGGAAAGAAGGCTGAGTCAACCCTGAGCCAGTGAGAATCGAACTGCTGAACGGCAGTCAGCAAAAGTAGCCTGCAGTACTGCATTCTAACCACTGTGCCACCACAGCTCATCAAATTATCTTTCCTCTCTACACAATGTTTCTCAACCTTTGGCCGCTTTCAGACATGTGGACTTCAACTCCCAGAATTCTCCAGCCAGCCATGCTGGCTAGGGAATTCTGGGAGTTGAAGTCGACCAATTTTAAAATAGAATTCTTTATTGGCCAAGTGTGGTTGGACACAGAAGGAATTTGTCTTGTGCAAATACTCTCAGTATACATAAAAGAAAAGGTACCTTCGTCAAGAATGATAAGGTACAACGCTTAATGATAGTCATAGGGCACAATAAGCAATCAAATCATACAACAGGCGAGATTCTTAAGAAAGAAAATCTCCTTTGACCCGAGCTTAACTGCTAACATTTCCTGGACACGTCTATGTAGTCATCTGGCTTACCAATGCCTTCTTGCTAAATTTCTTTTTTTAAAAAAGAATTTTCAGCCTAGCCAACATCCTTCGCCTCCTTAGTCCTAAGGTTGCTTCTCTCCTTGGTTAGTTTCCACCCGTTGTTTCTCATCCTACCCTCGGGTGCTTTGGAGAATAGCTTGACTCCCTCTTCTTTGGGGCAGCCCCTGAATATGGCAGTTACCCAATGCCCAAATTTTGATCATGTGACCATGGGGAGGCTGCAGTAATCCAAAGTACGAGGACCAGTCGTAAGTCACCTTTTTTCAGCACTATTGTAACTTCAAACGGACACTAAACGAATTGAGGACTACCTGTATATCCCACTTTTCTTAATGAGTTGGAAGAATAATTGGCGACAAGGGGGCCTTGGTGCTCTCTGACCTTCCTTGTTTTCTTGCAGACGTTTCATTACCAAACTAGGTAACATCATCTAGGACTGGTGATGTTACTTAGTTTGGGTAATGAAACATCTGCAAGAAAACCACCAAGCTCAGAGAGCACCAAGGACCCTTCATGTCAACCCTGAGCTACGAATATTCTCCTTTGATAATAGATGAAGGAGGGAAATCATCCCTGCTTTTCTCTAAGATGGAATCCATAGTGCAAACAGCTGGTTGGATGTCCCAAAGGTGGCTTTTCAGGAGGCAGCTGGTCTTTCTTGACCTGTATGCTGAGAATTCCTCCATTCCATGGGGAACCAGACTAGCTCCCATGTCTAAATCCTGCTTAAGCTGTTTCTCAGGTATTCACAGGAACACAGTGCACAAAAGAAAGTCTCTTCCAGTGCAAACACTCAGCTATCCTGGAAATGCTGCCTTCCAGAGAGGCTGGACTTCAACTCCCATCATCCTCTGGCTAGTCTAGTGAAGAGAAGGACCAGGGGAGACAGGAGAGCAGTCTTCCAATATTTGAGGGGCTGCCACAGAGAGGAGGGAGGGGTCAAGCTATTTTCCAAGGCATCTGAAGGCCAAACAAGGAATAATGGATGGAAACTGAGCAAGTAGAGATTCAACCTAGAAATAAGGAGAACTTTTCTGACAGGGAGAGCAATCAACCAATGGAACAGAAGTTGTGGGTGCGTCATCACTTGAGGCTTTCAAGAAGAGACCGGACTGCCATCTGTCAGAAATGGTGTAGGGTCTCCCGCTTGGGCGGGGGTTGGACTAGATGACCTACAAGGTCCCTTCCAACTCTGTTAATCTGTATCTGTATCTACCAAACAGGCTGAGAACTGAAGCAGCAGGGAGTGCCCGTGGCCAGCAGATGGCAGCCCAAGCCCACATTGTGCAAGAAGTCCGGTCCCAAAGCAGAACACTAGGAAGTTGGTTCTTGGCTTCACTGGATGCTATCACAACAACCCAGGAAGTCAGACCAAGACTTTTGATCTTGCCTTTCTAAATTCAAATATAACCATGTGGATTTGGGTAACTCACTAAAAGCTAAATTCTCCTCCAGTCTGGATCCAGGAGCTGGCTTTAAGGATTTGTCAAAGTTTTAGCCAGTTTTATGTACTTCACTCCTCTGCTCGCAATACCTTATGCTACCCAGGGTTGAAATTTTGGACCTGGACAACCTAGAACTATGCCGCCTATGGTCTGATCTAAGCTTAGTACACAAAATTGTCTGCTATCTGACAACGACTACTTCAGCTTCAACCGCAATAACACAGGGGCAAACATTAGATACAACTCAAAGGAAATCGCTCCAAACTCGATTGCAGAAAATACGACTTCAGCAACAGAGTGGTCAATGCCTGGAACTCACTATCTGACTCTGTTGTTACATCCTCAAACCCCACAAAACTTTAACCTTAA